TGGTGAAATTGTTTATCACATTATGGATAAGTGTGTCTACAGGTAGATATTCTTTTCGTATTTATGTCACGGTTTACATTCCAAACTCAGGTGCATATGGCATTTATTTAACAATCTCAAATTCTACATTATGTGTAAAATTTAAATTATAATCAGAAAAAATTAAGATAAACTTGCAACTTATTACTTTTCTGTCATACCCGATGAAAATAGATCATTTAACTTACTGATTAAACAAAAATCATAGAGATAAATCAAGAGGTAGCGTAACTATAGTAAAAGTGGAAATTCAGCTCATTATTTGTATAATAATGTATATGGTGCAGAAATGCATAGTTTTTTGTACGATCAAATGTTAAATCGTTAAACTATAAAAAGATAAAAATTTAATAATGATTTCGTCAGTTTATAATTTTAATTTTTACAGACTACGTTTATATATATTAGATTTATGTCAACGGCTATTAGTCCATTATGAAAACTGTTCTGCTTTATCTATTTCTTTTTTTTTTTAACATTAGTTCACAAAGTATGATTTTATATATGAATTTGTTCATTGATAAAACCCGATACTACCAATGTTCTTTGACGTTTTAATCGCTGTAATGGTTAATATGATGAAAAAAATAAATAGTTCTTTTTCCATATTGTTTTGAATTTATCAAAATCGTGCGGCGATATTTGTTTTCCAGAGCGTCAAAAGTGATCCTGACAACATAATAATAGGTCCAACAAGGATTATAGTGATGTGCATTTGGTATTTTTCATAAAGTGTACTGAATTCAATTTATGAGGTGTTATTATCTACAGAAATATATACAGCATAAGAGAAAAAAAGAACACATAAAATAATGAAAAATTGTTTGCAAATAAATTTTAGATAAATTTATTTTTTCATTCTTAATGGAAGTTCTTAAATATATAATATCGAAGTACAAAAAGGAAATATATCGAAGAATAATCGTTAACTCTGTCATGATACTGCAGTAAACACCAATTAACAATAACATTACATTAACGTTGTAATTTCTCACTCAAAAATATAAATATAACTTGACATATCTTATATATAAATTATATCGGTGAGCGGGAAATTATAACATTGTTGTATAACGTTACTATTGATTGATGTTTACTGAGCTACATATTACTTTGTACATATTTCTGAGCTTTATGCGCATCCTATCTGTCAATATTTGTATAGTTTAAGTTTCTTCGTGGAGAGGCTTGCTAACAATAGGTCATTATGAACTGTAAACGAACATAGACCCAAAACAGGATCTGAGACTGGAAGTACTTGCAACTGTTTACCGCTTTTTACACTCCATATTGATATTTTGCGGGTTTCTTCTTGATGTGCCGCTACTAACGTATCGTTCTCCGCATATACATAACATGGTCGGGACAAGAGCTTTTGAGAATTACCAGCATTGAACGTATGCACAACGCTACACATGATTACCTCTTCGCTACCTTTTTCCATGGTACACACCGCGTGTCTTGCGTGTGGTTGTCCAACACTAGGACGGGACGATATAAGGGCGTGTTTACTTTTTTCGTCGTAACACACCGAAATAAAGGGGCCTTCTAAGAATACCTGTTTAGGCAAATAACCGGAATTCTTAGATTCATACACACAACACGTGTTCAACCGACACGCTATGAATCCGCCTCGACTAATACCACTGCCCGGATTCGGTTGTACTGTCGCCATAGATACAACCGGTGATCTGTCGCTCTGGCCACCCAAGGTGTCGACGGGACTAGAAATTTGTCTGATATCAAACCGAGTGATAGATCCATTTTGAGCGCCAACTAATAGAAGGTTCGAGTTATCGCCTGACCAACAACAACTCCAAAGCGGGCTTTCTGTTTGGAATGTATGCAGTATCATATTATTCTGAATGTCCATTAACTTCGCACACTTGTCAAAGCCAACGCTCAGAAGGAGCGACGGTTGCATAGAATGAAACGTTAAATCTCTTATAGCGTTACTGTGTAAAAAGATAAATTGCCGCGCCTGGAAGTTTATAGGATCGATTCTCCTCACGCCATACCCTTTGAATATGACGTTCGTAGATGCTTTTTGGGAAACAACCAGAATGTTGTACCATGGATTATAATTTAGCACACGGCATTCACCATCTTTGCAGATATCTATAGATCGTTCCGGATGAAACTTTTTAGCGGAGAAGTTCGGAGCGTTTTGATTTATGAGAATATTCATTTCCGCCCGGTAGTTTTCCAGTTCGGTAATGCGACTTTTCAACCTAACCACTCTTTCCTCGTAAATTTTCAGGCGAATGTTACATTGTAATAATTCCGTCTGCGTGCGTTTCTTTTCAGCCGTCACATTACGCAAATCTTTTTTCATTTTCTCTAATTCACCGGTATCTTTAGACGACAGTTTTCTCGCATATAAAAACCTAATATGCTTTACCAGAGCTTTCTTGTTGCATTGCGGGCAACGTCGATTTGTGCTTATGGAACATTGTAGCCACTTCAAGATACAACTGTGTCCAAACAAATGTCCACATCGTAAACAACACAAACGGTGCTCCCCTGAGCTAGTCCACTGCTCCATGCAAATTGGGCATGCCTGATCAGAGTCTTCAACATTTGACTCATTTAAATTTGTATCTGTCATAATTGCTAGAAAATTAATTTTATTTGATTATAATACATATTGATTGTGACATATTTGATTGCAATATATATTTATATAAGTTCAAAAGATATTCTTATTAAGATATTATAGTACACAAGTACCTTCCTGTGAACTTCCAGCATGTATATGTTTTTCCGCGTCACCTTGCACATTATTATTAGGAGGATCGTCATGCATATTTTCCTCTGCCTCCTCAGCTTCTTCTATTTCTTCCGCCGCTTCTGCAGCTTGTCCTTCTACTTGCATTACAACTTCATCTATAGTAATAGACAATATTATTGTAAAAAATGTCATTATAATTCGAAACAAATAGAATATATGAAATATATTATTATATACAACACAGAAATCTGTATAATCAGTTTCAAAATTAGGAATTGATATCACTTATAAATTCTTTGATTGACTTGAACTTAATTTTTCTTTAGCGGAAATATCAAGCGAAACTATAATTTGGCTGTAAGTCTCCAGATGTTAATATTAAACATCTTCATAACTAATCTTGAAATTATCAATCTGTTGAAATAAAGTCTACTTGAAAGTCTACTTGAAAGATTAGATATCAGGTTTATTTATTTATAGTTTTGAAGCTTATTGTTTTTAAGAACATTTTTACATTCAATTGCTTCCCAAATAGCAGAATTTTCTAAAAGATTGCTTAAAAATGTCTAAAAAAAAGATGTTTGAAGAAAAATAAGCGTTTAAACCTCGAAAATGTTTTCCAGATATCTTTTAGAAATTCCTGCTATTTAGGTTATTGTATACAATCAAGATATGTATTATGGATGTAGGTATTCTTGATATTTCTACCAAGAAAATATTTCGAGATGAGTCAAAACATTTCAAAAGAATCAAGAAATTCGACAAGAGATCCATTAGACCTTAGAAATACATTTCACCTATTTTTCTATTTACAGATTATCTATGGTACTTACTGCCTTCCATAACCTTTATCTCGTATTTGATATCCTTAATAATACAACTGGATTGTTATCCTTAAAAGATGATAGGAACGTGTGCTCCTTTTATCCTCATAAACTATGTCGAACTAATTGTTAAAACAAATATTATATTACTGGAAAACTATAAGTCATGTGTTTATTTAGACCCGGTGTTTGATGCGTTATATTTATTGGTCACTCTATCTATTGGTAGTTTACTCGGTCGATATAATCGTGTACGAGACATATGATAAAAATGGCTTGTTCAGCTAAATTAAAGACTGTAGTTTCGTTTATCAACATAAGAACATATACTAATAAACTCATATAACTTACTTTTACATAATTGTCTATCTTTTTTCTATTCTTTCGATTTCTATATCTTTCATAAAAAATTGTTTTTGCGATAATATTCAGATCATCTCGCGGAAGGATAAAAATAATTGAACATCGTGTACGCAGAGAAAAGAATTCTGAAGAATTTTGAAGTGAGTATGATACACAATATTGACATATTAGACGTGTTATAATTCTAATTTTGTTTATGTCTTACATATTTTACAGCTCTCTCGCAATAAAATAGTACGTAAGAATATTTCCGAAGTATATTTAAATCGTCTGACGCAGCCGACATCATAACTCTATCACGGAGGATAGTGAAACAAAATCTATAGGTTACTTGCATCTTATATATATACATCTCGCGGGACCGAGGAAAAAACGGCGTTGATTCGAAGGTAAAAATATGAAGGTAAAATTAGCATTTAACGCATTATTAAATACAATATTTATATGTATTTCTTTTTCATACAAAAATTTTGTTGCAACCAGTTTTTAGAAAAGTCAAATACATATGTGTCTTAATTTTATTATAAGTATTATGTTGTTATATATGTAATAATAATAGTCTTATTAATAGAAAAAATGTCGTAAAATATAAATAAATAAGTGAAAGTATTCAGAAATTTGTTCCTGTAGAAGCGACGGCCATGTGTGAGGAACCATTCTCCTTTGCAAAAACATTCCCGTACGCAGGAACGTTTACTGATTAGAACAAAAAGCATCCACGAATCAAAAACCCGAGGTTCGAGACGGAACTGCCCTAAACTTCAGTCAAACAATGGACAATTCGGCAGTGACTTACGCTTGAAGAAAGGCGTCTTTGACTGGCTAGAATCTCTCTTTGATATAAAGAAACCTTTGAATTTATCGGATGTATATCAGCTAACATTAGATTACCGCAAAGATAAATCAGATAAAACGATATCAATCGATACGTTCGATACCGTCAAATCGGAACCACTTGTGGAGACATTATTCCTTCAATCTATTTTACCAAATTTCGAAACTCATATCAACGAGCCGATAGTACGTTATTATATAAAATAAATTGTTACTAAATTACACTACTTTGGATCTATAGATTAATGCAATTAGTGATTCGTAAATCATTATTGATAGATTGCACAAAGGCGAAATATTTTTCAAGGAAAACATTGAAAAGCCTGTAAGAGTCGGGCTAGGTTGTTGGTGCGAATAAATTTACATAGAAGGATAATATGTTATCGCACGCGCCGATGGCTTTGCCAGACTTTTAAACATATGCGGGAAGTCTTCCTTCCACATCAAACCGTTAGTGAATCAATTAACGCACAATCAGATAATTATTAATTGGGGGATTTAATCAATAATTGGGATATAGAATTGGTTTGATGTGGAAGGGAAACTTCCCACATATGTTTAAAAGTCTGGAAAAGCTATTAGCGCGTGCGATGATACTGTCAAACATATTGTCCTTCCATATAAGTTTATTTACACTAACAACATGCTCTTGCAGGTCTTTCTATGTTTTCTTTTATTGTATATTTCGAGAGTCTGGTACAATTCAATTTATATAAAATATTGTTCACATACTTCATAGTATTATAAATTTTACAGTACTTTGAAGATGTTAAAGATGAATTAAAAACAAGCAAAGGATTACACACGGAAGCGTCGGATTCTGTGAGGGAATTACAGCAAAATTACTCGATTTATGACAAGGAAAATTACACAGTGTAATAATTTATTCATTCCAATGCATTTTCACGCTTATTAGTCGATTATGTAAAAAGGCAATTATACATTTGTAGAAATATGGCTGAAAAGGAGAACGAAATGCCTGAAGAACAGCAGGAAGAATTGGCGGAAGTAGAAAAACCAGTAGAAGAATTCGAAGATTTTGCAGAGGATAAGATTATGGACGAAAAGAAAGATGAGGAAGAGGATAGACGCATAGATAAAGACGAGGACGAAATTACAGAAGATATCACTGAAGATATCACTGACGTCGAAGACATCATTTACGAAGACGAAGATAAAGACAAGATTGAAGATTTACAAAAGGAACCCCCGATATTTTCATTCCCGCCTGACGTCGCAGAAAGTACGCTTTGATATCTATTATCGGCTTCCCGGTGCGAAAGGATGCTTTATTTAACTTCTGAGTTGCCTGTTCACTTTTGTCGGCTCATTTTTGCTCACAAAACGCTGGAAACAAATCCACGGAAGACGCGGCACCAATCCGAAAGTCAGATCAAGCACGTTATGATATCACTTAAAACCATGAAAAATCATTAAATTCAAGATCGCAATTGTAGCGATAGCATCATAACAATTTCTTAAACGACGGATTATGTTGAGGTAAACGACGAACATTGCGCCATTACGTTTTTACGATATGTGCGTAGCTGATATATTCATGTCGACGAAGACACGCATACACGTCTATGTCAGCGAATATATCATATTGTCATATTAAAATTTAATGAGATACAGTTGTTCAAGTAGTGTGATTGAAAATAGTCGATGAAATAATTATCGGTTGTTCCAACCCAGCGAGGTAATGAATATTTAATGGAACGTCGAATTGATGCCGACTCGATGCAATTTATACCTCATTGACGTCGATTCGACGTCGTTTCGATGGTTTATTTCTCGCTGGGAATGGATTCGCTAACCGACGAATATTTGATTTCAGAGGTGAAAGCATTGGATGAGAGATGCATTATTCTAATCGATGAAATCCAACAAATACGAGATGAAGTTGAAGAATTATCAGAGGTAATGCTCCATCGTTCTTTGTATTTTCAGTATTATTATTGTAAATATTTAATTTTTAATTATATCTCTTAACATATATGTAGAAAGTGGATCTAACGGAAGAGGAGACGCGGCTAATTGAGAAGAAGCAAGATGCTCTCTTATTGAAAACGGCCGAACTCGACCAGTTGACGGAGCAATTACGTCAAATAACGGTAGTTTTAATAGATACGTTTAGTGAAATATAGATTACAAATTACTTAAGAACCGTAACCGTGCATTTGTGAAAAGCTCGACTTACGTGAATCAATGATAATGCTTGTTAGTATAAAATGAGAGATAATAGCAAAATTAGGAAGAGGAATATCATAAATATATTATAGATACAAGGAATTCCAGACTTGCTTTACGATGATTCGTTAGAACTCGACAAAATACTTGATGTGGAGAAAATTCAAGAGCTATTCGAAGAAAAGAAAATAGATATAGAAGCGCCCAAAATTCAAGAGAAAGATCGCTTTGAATTACCGCGAATAAAATATCCCGAGGATAAGTAAGTTACACTCTCTTTAATCGTAAAAATTCCGCCAGCCTATTTTAATACGCCTCGTATCGTGTGGGTCATCGTATGTTGCCTTTTCTTTTTGTTAATAATGAGTTTTACAGTATTGCGAAGATTATAACACGTATATTATTAATGTATATACACCATCAGTGATCCACATGTTCTAAATGGAACCTAAATGGAAAGTCGCAAGAAATTGACGTGACGCGAAACGTGTTAATATATTTTTGATTGCGTATTTTTATCGTCATCATTTTTATCGATCAGGCTGCCGAGGGTAATCGTTTGCGGTCCCGCGGAAAATAAGCTTCCAAAAATCATAATAGCGGACAGCGAACGGAAAGAAAGAGGGGAGTGCTTCGAACGTTTAACCGGCCAATTAACGGAATCTCTAACGATGCAGGAAAAATTGGTTAAAGAAAATGCCCAGCTGGAAGGTGGAAAGTATGCTGCAAAATTCTAAACATATTAAAAAAAACAACAAGCGGAATTTATTGAAAATGCACGTTAAAAAAATTGTTAATTTAAAGTAGTTGTACCTTTAATTAAGGAGAAACGATATTTCTGTTTCGATCGATCTTTTGCGTAGCAGTCGGTATCGAAAAATCTCGCAATTCGATAGTTATTTAGCGAATAGTCGAAGGGCGCGTAAATGCTTGAAAGTTACACGGTTTCCGCGGTGATGACGATGTTTTTTTATTTGAAGCGTGTCAGTTATACGTCACTTATGCGTAATTCGATTTCGTGACATGTCAGTTTCATGACGACCATTTAAATGTGCACGTTATCAACTATTTCGTTCTCGAGAAATTATTTTGCAACACGTTTTGGTTGAATGTCCCGTCAGATTCTAAACGGATGAAAGGCCGGCTTAACCACACATTATTAACCTTCGATTCCTGTTAACCTAATTGGTCGATTAACTCAATGGAATTGATCAATCGCATGGGATCAATTATCTAATTGAACAATGCGATTGGTCAATTCCGTTAAGTTAATCGTCGATTAGATTCAAGCCAAGATGATAGAGACGGGCATAAGTTGGGCTATCCCGTGAACAGGTACAAGCTGGAAGAGACCTTGCTGGAGAAGGACGCTGCTATCGAAGGTTTAGAGAAGAAGGTATGCGGCCTGCAAGCCGAAATGCGTATGATCGTCAAAGAGAATAAGGAATTGAGCAGTCGATTGGCCACCTTGAGTCAGTTAATGACCAGTCCTACTTGCGGTTCAGGTGTTAACCAATTACCTCAGTTAACATCGCCGCCAACACCACCACGTGCATACGTCAGCTCGCTGCCTCGCGAAGACGCGTCCTGCCGATGCAAATGTTGCTCTCGTCAGCCACAGTTCACTGACATTTTGTCACCGACAACAGGAACTGTATGCTGTACGATACCGTCCAATTCTTAGTCAATTTAGCGAGATATCTCGACAAATCCGTTACGAAATATATTATAAAGAAATACCGCGATAGGACTCGCGACATTTCATACATGTTAAGGCTCTGGAATCGCAAAAAAATCTTGGCACGCGTTTACTCGCCTCCGACGTTATTAAGCAAGGACAGTCGCAGCGACCACTCCGGAGTCTTAAGAGATACAAGGTGTTTATGCGATGAATTTTAACACTGACGAAGTACAAATATGTGCACAGTTTCACCGAGACTCGCCGGAGGTGGATCGGCAACAGAGACTCCCCATTCCAAAGACAACGACATGCCGCAAAACGTCGAAATATGTCCGCGAGGTGTTGCCCTCACGAAAGCATCGCCCCCTCAAGGAATCTGTCCCGCGGAATTGGAGAATAAACAAACGACCTACGATATTAGTGCTAAACAGCTAGTGAGTTTTAAGAACTACAAATCGATGTAACTTTACACCACCATTGCTGAGCAATGTAACTTTGTATTCGTTTATTACTCGAGGCACGTAACAGATAAATTTCTTCCCGAGGAAGCAAATTTTACGCATCTCTGTACACTCTTTAAGTAATGAAACATTGTGTCATTATTTTTCCAACGTCAATATCTTAGAATCGGCTAGACGGTATGGTAAAACGACAAAAATGATATATCTGTATTCTGTAAGGAATGAAGAAGCGATCGGATGAATTCACGGTATATTTAATCTCTTCAGGAGCAGCAATTGGGCAGTATGGAGTGTGAAGTACGTAACATGCAAATGGAATTGGCGAACGTGCAACGGGAGCGGCAGCAACTGGAGCAACAACGTAAATTACTGAAATGCACAGGACCTTGCGCACCGTGTGCCTGCCCTCCTCCGCCCTCGACGTGCGTGACACCCTCGGCGTTGAGGTCTATCTCGCCGATAGGGCCTGCTGCACCGCCGGTGTCTCCCACCAAGGTACGTATATATGATTCCCAGAATAACCTTTCTCCTTCGAGAGAGACTTAATATTAAAACCGCAGCAACTTGGATCTTTTAGAACAGAGGTTGGATCACTTTTTACCCACCTCTTTTTTTTTTTTTATAATTATCTGTGGACTTTCTTGAATTTTATAATGTTGTTTAATTGTTCTATGATAAAGAAGGCTTACCATGTATGTGATGAAAATCCAAAGAAATGGAAAAGAAAAGAATTTACAGCCGCGGTTCTAATGTTAACAGGGTAACAAATACAGCTTTACGATATATTTTTCAATCAGATGCAGATGACTACGCCAGCTGTACCCCCGAAATGCACTGGTTCTTGCACAAACGCACCTATGGTACGGCTCTAACTTAAGGAAACTTTCTCCTAAGAGCGGAAACGTGAAAAGTTTCGCGTGAACGACTTTAGCGATCGTGTAACTTCCCAAACAAATGAAACGTGGAACTTTCAATGTTTCCGCTCCTAAGGAAAAATTATATAACCGTTACCGAGATAATCATGAGCGTATATTTGTGACGAAAGGGCGCGAGCAATTGCGCTCAACAGCAATTACGCGACCTTCGCGAACAATACGCTCGACTGCAGGAAGACTATAAAAATAAGCTATGCGAGGTATCGTGCATGAGAACTGACGCGGAGAAAATGAAGCAAGATTTGCGCGATGCGAAGGAGGAGAAAGAACGAATGGAGATAAAGATGATAGACGCTCAGGAGCGATTGAAGCTCTTCGAAGAGGAAAGGGGAAATTTCGAAGGTACATTTCCGTAAACCAAAATAATAACAATAATAAGTGGCGCATATTCTTTTCGTTTATTATATAAATGTGAATTACCTTCCGAACAGGTCATAAGGAACAGCTCGTCGAGCAGGAACAGGCTTTAATGGTGGCGAAACAACGAATGAGAGAAACGCAAGATGAGCTGGAGGAGCTCCGTTCCGCCACTCAGGATCTATCTGCTCAACTGGAGGACTATCGCAATAAATATTTGCAAGTCGGTTGTCGTCCTTCGCGTCCTTCTATTGAGACTAAATCCCGTCATCCACTTGTTTCTCCGTATGTGCAAAAACAATGACAAGAACAATTCATACTTTAGGCCCAGCAACAGGTTGAAGAGCAACGAAGACAGATGGATCTTATGGAAATGGATAACGCGCGAATGAATGAGAATGTCACTTTGGAGATCGGACGTGTTAAAGTACATATTAATTATTAGTTTAAGTACATATTGATTAAGAGTTTGTTTATTGTTTGTCGGGTTATTTAGGAAGCTATGGTACTCTTAGAAGATTAATATGTATAAATTTGTGCACAATTATGTTCATATTATATATATATATAACGTTGATACAATACACTCAGAATCAATTCCAAGAAAAATTAGCCGAGCTTGCGCCGTTGCCGGAAATTCTGAAACAATCGCAAACTAAGCTGCAAGAGACGCAGCAAATGCGCTTGATCGCTGAACGCAACTGCGAGGACCTGTCGCGGGAATTACAAGGATGCAAGGACAAACTTCAGATTCAGCAAAACGAGACGGAAGTGTTGCGTACTCAGTATCAAACACTTTTGGTTGTAACCTTGCTACCTTAACGGAGGCCTCGTTATCTCAGGTGGAAAATGATACATTATTGCGAATCGTTTTTTCAGGGCGAAAGGGGACAGGGAACCGGTCGGTTCGAAGAGATGGAAAAGAAGTGCGGTGAACTGCGAAATGAAAACGAGAGGATGAAAAACACACTGACACGGCTCGAGGAGCAAAGGGCGCAGCTTCAAAAGCGCATGGACGAGAAGATGCACGAAAATACTCAGCTGTTGTCACAGTTGGAACAAGTACGACTCGGTCTCGCGGATAAGGAGAGCTTCTTTTTTTCGTCGCGAGAACACCGATATCTCTTCTTTTTCTCTCAAGGTGAGGGAGGAGTCTGCTCGACAAGTAGCCAGAACGAAAGATCGATGCGAAAATATACGATGGTCGATGCAACGGCAGATCGCTGAAATGGAGAGAGAATTGGCACAATGTAGAGCCACAGCGCGGGCCGCGCAGCGAGACAGAGACGAAGTAATCCTTTCCAAGAGTTTTGCATAAAACAATTTACCTGTCTTGAATGGAAAGGGGATGGTACTTACGATACACTTTCCGTTAACGCAGATCAGACAAAAGATGCAGGGTCAGATAAATAATTTGAACGAAGCCTTCGAACAAGCGCAAGGGCGCATTAGATCTCTGCAAGGCCATGTAAACTACCTCAAGACCTCTTACAGTAATATCTTTATCGGTCAAGGAGAAACACCGGCTGGTGTTCCGGCAGGAGACGCTCCAGGCTTGGGATACGATTCCTGCGACTGCAATTACTAAAAGTTTCATGATTTTCGACACGATAATATTATATTTGAACTCGATGCAACGAAATTTATAATACGCCATGTAACATCGTACATATCCTGTTGCGCATTTTTACCTCAAGCGACACACTGACGCGATTCGACAAAGTCATTTTGTAGAAAGTAACATACAATGCCTTCAATTTTATTTTATAAATATATATGAACTAAAAATGCGTGTGATGCACAAATAAAAAAACGGAAAAGAAGCTTACGAGGTTATTATATAAGCACCATTTATCAATTTTAACATATTAACACGTTCGCTACACTAACATTACATATGACTAATCTCTTAAGAGATCAGCGTCGCATATACATGAGAGCGATAATTTTTCTCTTTGCGTAAACAAACTAAATCTTTTAGATAAAAACGTTTTACAACTTAAAAAAAAATATAAGAGGCTGTGGGAAGGATCTCTCAAATGAACCGTGATAACGAACGTATTAGGAGAAATTTCAATAAAGATCAGCACATATGACTATTGGATATGCATGTATTGGATGTAAACATTTGTTTTATTATATATGTATTTTATTTAATAAATCGACTATGTATGTATGCTCTTTATATGCAAGTAAATTAGAGAATCTGGCATATGATAAAAACGCAAGAGTCGACTAAAAAGAAATTAAAACAACAGGAATATGATATATGTACATATGCAATAGGTATAGTTAACATCCAGATGAATTCCGTTAGTTGTCCACTGAATGAAGCATATTGAGCATATTAAGAATAGCATCCGAACGCGATCGCACCTTCTCCATTTCCACTCGAAATTCTTCCAGTTGAGATTCAATTCGCTGTGCATAAGCGTGACAGCACCTGCGGGCGGAAATTAAACAATCTTAATTTTGAACAATCAAATGTGAATATTAAGTTTCTAGTCGTTGTGATCTGTCCTTGTTTAATGACGTCGAGAAGCGAGAAAACGCTTGTCAAAATTCTTTGCGTTTTTATCTTCAAACAAAAAGATGTACCCACAAAATGACATTTGTAATCGATTTAGCAATCTTGTAAAATTGGACGAACACTTTTCTTTTACTCGAACAATCAATAAGTAGTTAAGAAAAAAATTTTTGAAGGCGTACCTTCCAGCAGATTGTCCTGAGTTGGAACATGACGGCTCTACAGGTGCACACGGCGAAATTTTGATTTGGGGAGAACAACTCGTCGAGTAGGGTACCTCCTTCTTGTGTGAACAGCCTTTACTGGTACTTGGTGCGTTAGGATTATAGCAATCTCCACATCCTCGCAAAAAGTCCATTAAAATATTGCGTACTTTTTTTCCGCTTAATCTACGTCGTCGTGTCTGAGGAGAATACACAAAATTAATAAATTGTAGTTATAAGGTAAAAGTCCTAATATCTGGATATACACTTAAACCTGGACATTTTTTTATTATTTGGGTTTTTAACTACGAATATCTAAACTTTCGACAATGAATATATATATATATGAATACGACAATGAATATATATATATATATATGAATACGACAATGAATATATATATATTCTATGTTGAAAGTTTAAATATTTATATTTAAAGACCAAAATAATGAATACGTCCAAGTTTAGGTGCCCAGGCGTTGATACTTTTACCTTAATCACGAATTATTATGATAAGTGATAATTAACTTTCTTCCGCAACTTACCTCTGAGGTTTCGTTACATTGTTTATGCACTAATAATGGTTCTTCTTCATTTACGTTGGAAGAATGATAATTACATGTTCCATTACATTCTTGATCTGTATTCATTTTTAATTGCTCGCATAAGGAAGCTTCCTTCGATGTATTACAATGCTTATTATCCTCTAGACAATTATCTCTTGGATCGTGTAGCGAGTGATGGCATGCCATATGGTATCCGCATGTATGTTCATTATCTTCTACGACAGGATTGAAATTTTCATTTAAATGCTTAGGCGTTAAATTGTTCGAAAAGCTTTGTCGATGTTCCTTGACACTGCATTTATCTTTACCACAGTTACAACTATCTTCGAACTTCGGTTTTTCTTTATGTGAAAAACAATTGCATTTGTGCCCTGATAATGTTTCTACATCATGAGTACAGCAGGAATGTGATTTTTCTTCAGGATGTATTCGCTTGTACTTCAGCCATTCTTTACGATGCTTTGAGGAATTACAGTCTTCACAAGTGGAAACGCACACGTTTGGACTACTCGCACTGTCCGCATGTATATTATCCATTGTACAGAGTGGTTTCGGCGTGTTACTAAATGACATTGAATGCGAACACGAAATATTAGACGTAGCCGAACTCATCTCCAACTTAGCTGGTACTTTTGATTTTTTACTTGATGAACACACTATATTACTGCCGTTGAATCTTGTCTTTTGCCAGCAATAACACTTCTTGTCGCTTTTCATTCTAATAGACGTTTCCATTTCATTTTCGTTCTCAGTTATGGATTCCTCATTGATCTGAAAAAAAAAATACGATTTAAATTAAATGCTATAATTTTGAAAAAAACATATCCTGTTATTCACAAATATTATGATTGATTTGTAAAGATAATTTACCTCCTTGCCCCAAATGTTGATAGTCCCGTTTATCTCAGACATTCTTACTTCCACATTACCGAGTAAGAATGGACCACATTCTCGAGTGCGTGTTTTTTCATTAACAATCTTGTCTTTTACAGGCTGTTCTGCTTGAATTAGGAAGCTACGCTCTGCGCTATTTTCATTCTCGTGATATACAAAGCACTTTACGTTATCCTCTGGATCATTAACATCTTCAATTTTGCTTTCTACAGGCGTTGCAGTTCCTAACTGACTTATATTAATGTTACATGAATTATCCTGGGATTCTGCGTTAGGCGTTTCATTTAATTTCGATTCCACAGCATTTTGGGAAGCTTTAAAATTTTGTAAAAAGTTAGATGGTCCAAGGACATCCGTAATTTTTCTCTTTTTGGAACTGGAAGGTCGATTCGAGTAATTGTCATCATCATTCTGCAAGTCTGTCACTGTGTTTTCATTTAACCTTTTCTTCGTATTTTGCACTAGAGGACTTTCTGGCTTTGTTTTCCCTTGTGTAATATTTGAAAGAGTTTGTAAAATTCGAGATGAAGTTATAAATGCATGAGATAACGTGCGTGAATTTTTTCTCGGTGTTAGCGTATCTGTCAATATTATACTATCGTCAGAATGTAATGTCTTAGCTGCCTCTGGTGGTTTCATTGATACAGATAAACTATCAGTCCATTGTTCGATAGAACTTAATGTCGAAGCAACGCTGCTACTTGATATTTTATTGTGATGCTGCTTTACATTCGAAGATTGCGCCTGAAAGTCTTCGTTAGATGCCTTGGTTGACGGAGGTTTCTCTCCAGTTTCAGCAATAAAATCTGTTTGAATGCAAGCAACTTTCTGTGCGGGAGGTTTATTGCCCTTTTCATACTTTGCTAAGGACTTCCTCAATTCCTTCAGCTCTTGTTTCATTTTCAGATTCTCTGCAAATTGTTTCTGATATGTGTCCCGCAAGTTGTTGTATTGTATAGTTTTCTGATTTAATTGATCTTTCAATGTGACAATTTCTGAAATGTCTGAAGTTGTTTTACCAAATGCTTCGTTTACCCTGTCAAGTGTTTTCTCGTCGTTACTTTTTCCTTCGTTTTCCATTACATCGATGTGTTTAATCTCCTCGATCCTTATGGAGTACACTTCTTCATCATTATCATCTGTCTTGGACACATCCATTGGTTCCGCATCAATGTACGTTTCAGATTGAGTAAGCTCTTGTCCAATGACTTGTGCATTTTGGTTTAAATCAGTCTTCTGACTAGATTTCGAGGTACCACGCATATATTCTTCATAAGTCAAAGTGTGCACATTGAAAAATACCGGTGATACACCTTGATGACCGTTTTGAACATGAGATGGCTGCACGTTAACACCAAATTGTCGAGTTTCTCCTTCAGTAAGACTAACTTCGGATATACCATTTTGCTTCTTATCGTCCGAGTTTACGTCATCTTTTTTATCCTGCGTTAATTCAAGGGCTGTACCTATTTGAATTTCAACCTGTGCACCTATATTATCTTCCTCTTGTATCGATTTTAAATCATTTTTCTTATTATCTCGGCCATTTAATATTAACGGTGAAGCATTACAAGTAGCTCTGTCCTTCTCACGTGCTTCTGCCAATTCTAATTCCTTGATTGTTTTCTCAGCATAACTCTTTATCGTTCTACTGGTCACTGCTGGCTTTGTCTCCTCTGTGTCACTGTTTTTATCAGTGTTACTTTTACCGTGAATCGCATCCTCACGCTCTTTCGTATGCTTCTCCATAGAACGTCTACTTTGCTCCTTTATATCTTGTATGTAAAGTTTAACTTTACTTTGCACATTGTGTAATTTTACTACTTGATTTTTGCGCACCACTGGAAGCATTACAACGTTTGATGGAATGTTTAAATAGTTACGCTTCACCAAAGCTGCCTGCCTTCCCTTGTTGGCATCAGTATACATATTATTCCTGTAGATGCTCAAATCTTGGAGAGAAGAACTCTTTTCTTTGTCACGTCTCTTCAACGTTCTCTTATTTAAAACAACATCAGCTGACACTCTGTCATAATAGTCATCGTATATTTCATCGTCATTATGCATTCGTCTAGAAATTTCCTCCTCATCCTCCTCCTCCTCATCATCATCATCATCATCTTCTTCTTCATCCAACATGTGCTTCATATGATTTGGATCCGAATCGTTGTCATGCTCCAAATTTTCCATATCTGCAGTATAATATAATTATTTTACATGTGATACGCAAAAGTATACATATATATACACTGATATCACAAAAAAAAAAAGATATTGATTGTTTATTCTCAACAATACGTATCAGGATAAGCTGTTTTAATTTTGTCACTGTATATGCACTCCTTCCTTTGTCAATTTACCATCGCTATCTCCATATTCATCATCGTCATCCTCATCATTGTAGGGAAGCTGATCGGTTTCTTCTTCGGAGGACAAAATGCATACGCTGCTCGGCGCTTGATCATCACTGTGATAAGGGCTCCGGCTATGTTCCTCCTCCATGGCCACGTTCTCCGCCGGCTGTTTCGCGTTCACGACCTCCGTCGTCGAGTCATCACGTCTGGAAATGCTGGAAACGCTGATGTATGTCGGCATTTCCTCATCCTCGAGCAGCGCAACGTCTGTCTGGTCCATCATTAATTTCGTCTCGCTCTTAGACGAATCGTTGGGCACATCCTTCGTCGCCTTTGTCTCCGCTTCGGTGTCGTCGGGTGGATGCTCGCTGTTTTCCGACATCGTGGAAAGCTACAAGTGAGGGACCGAGAAAACGACTTACTGTTATCGGACGGACGTCGACGAACCAATTTACCGCAGCTAAACAATCGCGGCAACGATCTACTGCAGGTGTATCTCGCGCGTTCGCCGGTCCGGCGAATATACGTGGCGTGTGTTGAAAAACACTTTTTCATCAGACGCCATTACGGCGGTGTTCGCGGTCTTCCAGGCCTTTCGTACATTAACGCGTGCAAGTCGCTACCACCATTTTTCGTTTTACGTCGCGAGCAATTTGCATTCTCTCCCGATAACGCGAATCAATAGACCGAACGACGCGATCGCGCGCCTCTCCCCCAGGCTCTTTTAACACCGAGCTCCAATCATCACGAGATTAATGACCCGCACGTCGCAGGACCGTACACACGACGCGGAAGCCGGGCAACGACTCAGTCCCGTTCGTGAAGCCGTCTGGATCGGTTTGCGCATCGACAATCGCGAATGAAACTATTCAAGGTATTATTCCGGCAATTATTGCCATTTATTTGGATAAATTATTTCCACCTCTCACTCCACGTACGAACACACTTGTCAGGAACGCTGAGGTTAACGTCACTTGCGCGCATGTGCTTTCGCAGCTGCGGAAAGCCGCGCGCGCACACACACGCGGGCTCTTTGGTTTTGTTTCATTACACAATCGATCCCGCGTTAGCACGTACGATCGAAAATTCGTATCGCGCGCTCCTCTCTTTTCCGTTTTTTTCTCTCGCCGTTGCGTTGCAGAGAATGCACGTTATGGTTTATTAAATTGGACTCGTAGTGTACAAAGCATACGAATACACAAAGGGATCTGAATTAAACGTCTGTGTAATATATAGAACGCGAAAATAAAACGGTACTTTCCCACCTGAAGTCCTTGACTGGTTAATTTTTTTTCCATTCTTTATTTAGTGAGGTTATGTATACATATCGATCGCATCGGAGCCGGAAACGTCGATCAATAATCGTAGACGGTTTTACAAGAGCGATTTTTTACCGTTTGTCTCACCTGACAATTCATTTAACCATAGACATATAGCAGCACTGCCATCCAGTCACCGGAATAAAAAAACAAAATGAAATAGTGGTCGGTATTCATGGTCAGATCTTGTATTTAAGCATTCTTAAGCTCATCTTCAGGTGCTTCGCAGCCAATGAAATGAGCCGTACAGCATCTGAAGATGAATTTAAGACGGTCTTTTATATAAGATTCGATTATTGGCGTTTTCGATTTGCTGACTCGACCCAGCTGCTGAACTGGTACAACAAGTTAGAATGAGACAAGTATATTTTGTCTCCCTCTAACTTATCCGCACTAGTTTAACAGTGTGGCTAAAAACATAAGTTGGAGCTTATGCCCGTTTCCTATCGTGGTTCTAATCTAATCGACGATTAACTCAACAGAATTGACCAATCGTATTGGCGAATTAACTAAATTGCTCAATACGATTGGTCAATTCCGTTGATTTAATAGTCGATTAGATTCAAACCATAATGGTAGACAGACATCAGTCCGTTCTTTTTCGCTGAACTGTCTGCACTAGTTCGGGAGAAATTTACACGCACATTAAAGCGTGCGAAACATAAACGTAAAACGAGATTCTCGTATTTCAGTGTGCGTAAATTTCTCGAACAAGTACAGCAAGTTCAGCTAAAAAGAACAGACTACACCTGTCTCTCCTCTTTTCTCTTCCCACAAACGACGCAATTAAAGCCAGCGGCACACGATGCTAGTTTTCGTACTGGATTGCTTGCTGGATGGAAATACTGCCTTCTAATTGGTGTATCGTTGTCCATTTTCGGAAATGCACCAATCAGAACGCAGTATTTCTATCCAGTGAGCAATCCAGCACGAAAACAAGCATCGTGTGCCACTGGCTTTAGGCGAAGAAAGCATCATTGTTTTCGTTGCCTTCTTTTACCAACGTCGGCTTCGGTCCTCTGATGAGAGTGCTCACTCTATACGTCTATAGTCTCACGTGACAGACACAAGGTGTGAGCAAACATAACCTAAGCGGAGAACAAACTTCGTCGAAAACTCGGGGGGTTACTAGCGACGCAACTAGCGCTGTCCCTCTCAGAACGCCAGCACCATTATCGTCGGCAACTAGAAACGCAGTTTGTGCGCGCGGAAATTCGATTGTAACTTCGCGAGCGTTGTTCGATTTCGCGGAACGATGGCCGCCGGACTTCGTCTGACCATCGAGTTCGGGTAAGATCGAACGGTGAAACGCGGTGACCGAACAATAAGGTCCCGTTCGAGCGCGCGATAAATCACCGTTCACGAATGTTCGCAGGGGTGGGGCGGAATCGTTGTTCGACAACAAGAAGAGGCACGAGGTGAACTTACCTGGCGACGAGTGTAAGTATGCCGTTTACCGCTACTCAAGATCGTACACGATCGATGTTACTTTCTCTCCCCCCTTCCCCCCCGTTAATTCCCCATGCGAAACGCCGCAGGGACCTTGGGACAACTGGTGTTCTGGCTGCGAGATAACCTCCTCACCAGACAGCCGGAACTCTTCATGAAGGACAACACGGTGTAAGTGATTTCACGACTATCCCCCGCGTACCCTCGACCGATGTGATTCTTCGTGATCTTAACAATCGCACACACGCTCCGAGATTCCGCGATAATACTAGCACGCTGCCGTACGCGTGGAAACGTAGTCTCTCCGACGTGCTTCTAAAGCAAATATCATAAACTAAGATGGCGTACGCCGCGTGCATGTTCGGTCGGAGCGGCGTAGATGGCAGCACCGTGGCTCTAGCAAGGCGCATCGTAATATCGGGAGTCCAATAGGACTGATATCGAGCACGAGATAGGAAGTTTGAACGGAATTGTTAGATATATTTTGAGCGATTTTTTGTGTATTTTTGCGGAAAATACTCAGAAATATTATCGCAGGGGAAATTTACGGTGTACGTTATGATTTCGCGAACATGTTTGATGTGAGATTACGTACAATAAGATAGCCGCTTCGCACGTTGTTTGCCGGTGTCATACACAGATGTCAGCATTCACGCGTTACTGGCGTATTAATTAGGGTCACTAGATCTATGAGGTATCGCCTTTCGGTCGCCATTTTTACGAGCCTTTTAACCGTCATTACCACAGACCTGAGAGCGACGTTCGTGTGATCGTTCATGTGGAAACTTTTCAAGAACATTCTTCAAACGATCGACGAGATGAAATGATCCGTGATGAAGAGGGAGAAATCACGTTAGGAAAATACAGATGAATCACACAGATCGACATCGTGAGTTGGAATCTTCGAAACTTGTCTAAGATAAGAGGTGCTTTCTTGGCAAGGAACACAAAGCTATCTTATCAGCTACATATTATCTTAGAAGATAACTTAGATAATATGTAGCTAATAAAATAGTTTTGTGCTAACACTGTGTCCTTTGCTGGAGAGCATCCAAGGACAGATATATTAAGGAGATTAGACATCTCGTGCGAAGTTGGCTATGAAAGTCACATCGTGACGATCGATCTAATCGCGAATTTAGTGTCTCTAACCAATCAACGATAAGTATCGTTCGAAGTTTCCCAACCGCCATTGCGAGTGTTTTACGCCAAAAGTCGTGGCGTCATTTCGTTCCTTCCGCGTTCGTTGTTAACTTTCTGTAATTGAGAGAGGGAAGGGGACGCGCTAATGCGGGATCTGTAAGTTTTTAATACGCAACTCGCCTGCTGCGGCGAATTGTAACTCGATTTAAGAAGTTTGTCTTGTTTATTTAGGCGGCCGGGTATTCTGGTTCTGGTAAACGAAACCGACTGGGAATTGCTGGTGAGTTTTGCGATATGCATAACCTCAATTTTATTCCGTTCCCTTTCCCTGTTTGGGTAATACGGATATCTCGAGTATTTTCATAAAAAGATAAGTAAATTTCCTTGATAGTCGTTAGTTTCAAGATTCTTTATCGAAAGGCTCACGTATTATGCAGGTTTTATCGTACTGAGAATTTTGATTAACTGAGAATCATTGCTTCTCAAATGTTTGTACACAGTGAAGAGATTTTGTACTCGTGTTAAAATCAGTCCTTGTTGTAATTTCTGTGTTAAATTTTTAAAATACCCCATGTGTTAATTTAACATATTGTGTTTATGTTTCCTCAACATTTTGTGTTGTGTCGATATTCAACATGAGTAAGTGTTGAAATAACACATTCTAATTTAGTATCAATTAACGTATTTTGTACTAATTTTTGACATAATATTTCCGTTATTTTTCAACATGTTTGCCTTTTGTTAAATTAACACAAAAATTCGAGTGAACCGTTTGGGACGCGTGAAATGTGTTAATTTAACACAATATTTTTTACTGTATAGCAGACGATTGTAGTACATTTTTTTAATACCTTCTTTGCAATTATACTTGCGTCCTTTATTGCATAATTAAATTTACACTTGATTTCATCTCGGTAGTTTGTCTCGAAGCACAATTTTTATGCTTTAAAAATATTCTAGAATTATTAAAGCTTTATTTGAAGGGGACCTTTTAAACACAGATTTAAATGTTCAGCGAGAAGGGCAGGCGGATTTAAATTCGAAAAGGATTGAATAGGCTACTTAACTTTGCAATTCTTAAGTCGTCACATTGATATGAAAAGTTAATGCGCCATATTCTCTGCGAACGAATCCTTCGGTATATATTTTCCAAGATCTTCGAATTATTAAAAACTTGTTACATAGAGACATTTAACTGTCCAGACTTAAGTGCCCGGCAAAGATGATATATGGAAGAAGATAAACGCGATTTTTAACTCGTCCACGAAGATAGGGTCGATATAGAATGACCCGAAGTTGTGTGTATGCGTGTGCGCGTGCTCCGAAGAGAGAGAGAAAGAGAGAGAGAGAGAGAGAGAGAGCAAAAGAGAGAAAATATCGAAAGGCGATCTCGTGAAAACCAGGAAATATCGCGAGTCTTCATGGGCTGCTTGCCTCTGCACTTTAGCATTAATAAAGCCAAAGAAGCTCGATTGCGATCCGCGCGTGCGGAAGGTCTTCGATTTGAAATATTAATTTCAGACACGTAGCACAAGCGGACTGTACTCCTGGTAGCACGCATTATTTCTTTATTCGCGCTCTACTATTCGCTCCTTCAGCCCTTCGCGTAGGTGACACGCGCGGCTGTTCCTGGCGTCTGACAAACGCCCGGCGCCGGGATACCCCGTGACCGGTTTTTACAAACGGCATAATCGGCCCGTCGACCACCATCACTTTCGTCGTCGTCGTCGTCGTCGTCGACGCTTATGCGGTAGGGTGCGGGATAACGGAGCGATTCCGGACGCTGAAAGGGCGCAAATGACCTCGGTTTGCCACACCCACGGAGAGAATTATCATTTTAAATTTGTAAATGTACACGCCGTGGCTATTAGGAAGAGACGCGGTTTTCTCGGGGTAGCGTTCGAGCGGGAAGACGCTGGAACGCCGGGACGGGGGGAGGAGGGAGGGAAAGATGATGGCTCTGGCCATTATTATGATAATACCGGCGAAGCCTCTCCGCAAGCTTCGCCTTATGCGTTTCCGTGCCTTTTCGCTCGGCCTTCTTCTTCTTATGTACACACACACACACACACACACACACATATATATGTCATCTCCGCCTCCCCTTTCGCTACTTCTTGCTATCCGCCGTCTTTTTTCTCCCTGCAACATAGTCGCGCTTTCACGAGCGTTCTCGCCGGAGCTCTCCCGTACGCCGAAGTTTTCGCGTCCGTTGCATGTCGATGTAATGGATACCCTTGCTATCGATAGTGGAAGATGTTGAAAGGCATGAACGTGGCTCGTGCGACGTGCGAAATTGAGGATGAGGTTTCCATAAAGTCGAAGTCGCTCTTTGCTCGCCGAGTAGTAACACGCGGTTGCGCGTGTACGTAAGATTACGCGAAGAGATGGCGTTCGAGTAAATTTTCGTCGACTTAAAAATTTGCCGGGGAATTTGTGGATCAGCATTTGGCGGGTGAAATATTTCCTCGAGGCTTGTTCACTTCTCGTTCCCGTTTGCCTGACGAGTCCCTGACTATATTTCATGTCGTATGTATTTCGTTTTAATCTGAGATGTGAAAAATATAATTTCAGGGGGAAGGCGATTATAAACTGTGCCCGCAGGACACTGTGCTTTTCATCTCGACGTTGCACGGAGGATAGACGTATCTTCGACATTGAAGATCGACGGATTGAAGATCCACAGAGAGGTATTTAGCTGAACATTTTTCATTTGGCGAGTACAGAAAATTTTATATATTTGATGAGAGAATAAAAAGTACTTCTTTACGAAACGTGTGCGTTTGTGATCAGTTCTAAGTAACGATTTAGACACGTTGGGTTTTAGAAAGGAAAATGACTGCTTGATTTGTTTTAACGCTATTCAATTACGTTAATTCTCGTAAATTGTGGCCTATGAACGATAAGTGATCATAATCGCAATAAACTAAAATTTTTACATTGTATCATTTAATGGTCATGTATGCAATTGGATTTTATTTTCGGACACGTGTGAATTGCATATTTCTCTCGTTGGTTTTGCCCTTTTATTTTCAAAAAAATATAACGAAATAACATCGAATATTCGAGCATCGCTTTTATTACGCGATAAAATTTTAATGGATTTAATAGAAAATGGAAACTGGCCAAGTCCGAAGGAAATTTGTTTTCGACGAACTAAGAAACTTTGAGAAACGAAGAAAGAATTGTTGATTTATTTCTTTTACATGAATCCACATATCCACATACCACATATTCTTTTCCTCGTTTCCCAGCCCTAAATATGATTTAACAATATTGCAGATGTACATTACAAGCTTGAATAGTTTGACGTGCATTGCATCACAATTACATAACAATGCACGTTTCTCTGTCGGTGAAACGAGAGAAATATGGGAAATCGGTGCAAAAATATGATCACTGGTAATGCAAAGTTGTCAAATTACATTTTGTGTCCGAAAATATGTTTGTTATTTCTAAGGATGCTAAGCAGACACAGAGTGTGCTCTTTGAACTTTTCAATTTTATTAAACGATGCATATTTATTTTATTATGATTTACTCCATAACGTTTCTCGATATCGGTGTTCACGTGCTGAATTATTTCCTAGTTTAAAATTTAAATTGATAACTACATAAAACCTTCCCTTCGCTTATTGCACGTTCACAAATAAAAAGCTTAGTATTTTTTGGATTAAATGTCCGCTAAGAAAGCTCGATGAATATCCACGCGCTAATAAAAAAAAGGGAAAATATCGAACTCCGACACCGAGTTCGCAAACGTTGCATAGATAATATCAATATTTTATGCGCGAGGTTCCACGATGTGTGACGCATCTTTTGGAAAAAATACACCCTCGAAAGCGTACGGACGTGTATATTTTTTTAAATTTCACTTTGAGATTGATGCAGGCAAGTGCATTGCTCTCTCGTAAATTTTTGTTGAGCGACGAGGGTAAGTGACTCATGACCGGAGAGCGAACCGGCCGCATTTATGCCGGTCGCGCAATCGAAGTTGCGCTTCGTTAGTGTATCGAGCTTGTAGTTAGGGACGCGTCTATGAAATAGATTTCGCGACACCGGAACCAATCAGTCGCCGCTGGCGGATCGATGGGACACCACTACACCGTATAATAATCTAGCGATACACAATGGCACCAATTAATCACGCGCATGAGCTGCGCGGAAAATCGGCGAAAAGATCCTAACGAGCGTCGATCATGAACGAAGAGTGCGCTCTCTCTCTCTCTTTCTTTCGCTCGTTCGCGTGTGCACTTTCCCATCCTTTTCACGCACGTACATGCGAACGTGCGTGCGTGCCTGGATGGGTGCGTGGACGCGCGACTTTGTGTGCGAGCATGCGAAACGCATCCGCCTATCAACGAGAGCCTGAGTGTGTCGCAATCGCTAATGGCCTGGCGGGGTTGGATGGTCCAGTGATTAATTGTGTCACCCATGATTACATTACGGACGCTGCGGATCTACTATATTATATACGGTCATACGTGCGTGTGCCGGGCGGATTGCGCGTTATACGTGCGCCTTGCGCATCCGTGCGTGTTTGCCGGACGCTCGAGGAAACGCGCTCGTACGTGCTTGTAACAAGTCGGCCGCGACAGGGGAACGTGCCGCTGGAAATGTCCGGTTGTTGGGTCCGCTAATCTGCGATATATCGCAAGGTGTACAGATGACGCACACGAAGAAACGCTTCCGCCTGGCGATACGCTATCATCCCTCCC